CATCCGAAATTCTCCATCCCAATTAGAGATACAATAAACACTCCCTCCTCTTTCCACAGGTAATCTCTTTGCCTATGCAATTCACAGGCAATACTAGGAGAGTCCTCACACCTGGTTCTCACCCGCTGTGCCTTTTGCTCCCTTCTCCTTACAAGGCATCCAGACTGACAGAAACTCTCTTAAGGCGGGGACTAATGGCCTTTGAAGAGCCTTGAGAGAGTGTGGGGCAGGGCAGGCCCCAATGGGGTGAAAAGGCTGGGAGCCAGATAATTGAGACACACATGGCAACAGCTAGTGTTCTAATGAAATCCTTTTGAAGCCTAAAACTGATTCTTAATATTGAAGGAAAGAGGGTTGTGTTTGAAATAAATAAGCCCAGGTAAATAAATAAGCTTAATTTTGCACTGTTTCAACGCCAATGCGTTTGTTGTCCCTTTAGGAGGAATGGCAGGAAAGAAATGTAATATATAAATGAATAAATATTAACTTCCATTTTTTGAAAATGCATCTGTTGACCATAACAATGATGAAATTGGACTTTCCAAATAGAAGAACAAACAAACTTGGTTCCTTAACAACTTGGGTCCAGAACATCTCAGGGACTTCCTGATCCCATATTATATTGGCAGAGACTTTTGGCAGGGAGAGGGGGTGATTTCCCTCATTGGTGGTTCCCTAGGTGCACGACTCACACCTCTGGCTTTGACCCTGTATATCTGAAGAAGAGTCTCCACCCATATCATGAGATCTAGCTCCAAGGTCCTTCTGGAAGTTCACTCATTGCGGTTACGGGAAACAAGGGAGAGGGACTTCTCAGTAGTCACTCCTGCCCTGTGGAGACCATCCCATCAGATGTCAAGGAAATAAACAATTCTCTGGGTTTTGGAAGACATCTGAAGGCAGCCCTGTTTAGGGAAGTTGTTTAATGCTTGGTGTTTTACTGTGCTCCATACTGAGTAGTGGTATGGAGTAGTGGTTAGAGCATCGGGCCTGGGAGATGAGGATTCAGATCTCCACTTTTTTCTCCAAGGAGCTCAGGATGGTGTACATGGTTCTTCCCTGCCTTATTTAATCACCACAACAACCCTGTGAGGTAGCTTGGGCTGAGAAAGACAGTGTCTGGCCTAGAGTGAGCTTCATGGCTGGGTGGGGATTTGAAGCCTAGTCTCCCAGGAGTCCGACATCTCTAACCACTTTACTGTTCAGCGTTGGAAAATGTATGCCACCCATAGTAAAATCATGCCTGATCTTATTCCCTAAGAAGTACAGGAACTCAGAGCATGTTTCTTGTTAGTTGCAAACATCCCTCCAAATGTCCTACTGTTTTTTCTACCTTCCATATGATCCTTCCCATTCCAGTTGGCAAACAATCCCTCCAAATGTCTACTTTTTTTTCTACCTTCCATATGATCCTTCCTGCATTTCCAG